GTGCCCGGGACCAAAGCGTCTGTGATTTGCCATATTCAATTTCAGTGAAAAGTTACAGAACATTTTTGAAATAGGATTAAAAAAAAAGTGGATTGATCATACAAAAATCGCTCTGGACAAAAAAGGATTTAGAAATAAAAAATTCGGAGACATGCTTTTGTTGTTTAAATCTTAATAATATACATGAAAAAATTTCTCAGTTCTGATTGGTTAAGATGAATGCAGTTTTCAGTGAATTCAGTGCAGAAGAGAGTTAATTCAGTGCAGAATAGGGTTAATTCAGTGTAAAGAAAAAAACAAACCAGACCTTCTGATTGGTCAGAACATTTGGTCAATGTCAAGGTCAATGTCAAGGCCAATTTCAAGGTCAATGTCAAGGTCAATGTCACTTGCAGGGTTTGAATAAATTATTTTTGCACATGATGCACGCGCTTTTCTTCTGCGTAGCTATGAGAAGCTACCTAGTATTTTCTCATATATATTATTAATAGATAATCACATAATTTTCTTTTGCAATTTGGAATAAATAAGCACTTGTAAATTTTTTTAAAGACCACAAATTGCACTTGCCCTACGGGCTCATGCAATTTTGTTAGTCTTTGAAAAAATTTACTCGCACTTATTTATTCCAAATTGCACTCGAAATCATGTGATTATACCTATACAAAACCAACGACTGTCAAAATGTGAGAGCAATCGAACAAATTCTCTTAGGTGATTCGGGCGCTCACATATAGAAGTCGTGAAAAATTCGACAATTAATTTTTTTTTTTCAAAAATTTTGGAAGCACTAGGAAGAAAAAAGAGCATCAATACTAAGTCTTTAAAGAAATCAGTTTCCTTTTAGATTTGAACTTTGTTTGGTGTTGGATTTATTGTCTGGTTCAGTTTGATTATTCAGTTTCATTTGCCATTTTTCAAACTTTAAGAAAGGTGAGCAACTAACTTTTGCTTCCAGTCATAATATGTTTTATTTTGTCTTTTTTTGTTGGTTTGGTCCTTGAATTAGTAATATGAATTGAACCACTTGCTATCACTTTGTGACTTCATTGAAATTCTAGACAAAAATAATATTATGCTGGGTTTGAACTAAGAAAATAATTATTGATATCAGTTAGAAAAATTTTTAATAATCAAAAATTACAATTAAATCCCCCCTACCTTAAATAATCCATTAAACAAAAAACGTTTCTTCTTCATGGGAGCCACAGCACCTTCCCCGTCAAGATCGACTGTTTCCACTTCTATCTCTATCCCTTCTGGCATGCACTTTTTGACGTCCGTCATTTGTCCTTGGTAGATCAACTTTTTAGTCAGAACACAGGACAGACCGGTTTGACAGCTGCAGTCTCCCTCCTGGTACAAGAATCACGTGACGTTGGTGTAACTAATACGTTATGAACTGAGACACAGAGAGACACCTGCACTAACAGCCTCGAGGACCAAAATCCTATGCAACACAACAATCTTACAGACCTTGAGGCAGAAGCTTTGCTGGCGGAATAAGAGCGGTGGGACGGGCTGTAATGCCCCCCTCCCCTTTCTTACGACAATCTGGGAGGAAGAGCCACCTCACGTAATCTTTTAGCTTCTAATCGAGGTTCTTAGAATTAAGTAAAGGCGAGAGTTTTCTGGACCAATCACCAAGTAGAGTTTAAGCAGAACCAAGGAATCCCGGATTACTTTCGACGCTCAACTGAAGATTTCTCTAAGCCATTGACGTGACTAAATGAAGTGACTACTAACATTACTACCATAATTATTTATCAACACCATGAAGAGAAATGTATTTTGAGCTCACCTCTCTGTTACAGGCTGCAAGTTCAGGAAGATTTGAGCATCCCTGAAAGAAACACACGCATCTAAATTGACTCTTCAAAGAAAGTTCACAAAACGCGTGATTTGGTTAGGGATATGAGTTAGTAATTCTCTTCATTCTACTGAGAGGGAAAAGATAGAATATTAAAAGAAATGAGACGTGTCAAATTTTGGAATCTCACCAGCAGACTAACAGTGGCACAGAGGCTCAGGAAAATGAAGATCTTCATGGCTTGAGTTTGAGTGAATGGAACTTGAATCGCTCACGATGTAGAAGCTATGATCTTGATGAAACAAATTGTGACTAGAGGCCCTCGCGCCCTGCTCTTAAAGTTTCTGAGAAAAATTTTGAAGTGGTATGTTTTGCAATTTACCTCGAGGAGTGCAAAATGAGGCTAAGTATTTCAAACAGCGCGTTTAAACGAAAATGAAACGAAGCGTGTTGAGTAAAGCAGTTTAGGAGACAACACTTAGTGTGTTAGTGTTAGATAATTTTGAATGTTCGCAGAAAGGAGCTCTTAACACAGTGCAAAGTTGTTCAGCTGCAATGCCAATTTAGTCATGTCTGATTTGTGCTGAGTCCTCCAGGGTTTTAGCCGCCACACCGCTGAGTCGAAAGGTTTTGCTTAGGGTTAAGCCACGTACAGCGAAACCATTGGTCGACTTTCGATTAAGGGGTCAGCGGAAGAACAGGTTGGGTGGGGGTCTTTCTTATTCTTTCACAAAAATATTTACCTCGATTTAGTCGGTTTCTCTAAACCTCTTGAGTACTGTTTTGGGTGGCTTACCGAAGTTTTTTATAATCGAAAATCTTAAAAAAAAAACAGATGAATCATTAATTTTTACTAACTTTAATAACTACATCTTTTACGCTAAGAATGAAAGAAAAAGCAGATAAAGACATGAAGATAACTTGTCATTAGAAAAAAAAGAAACGTCCTCAATAGGCATTGATACTTTGAAAAAGTGTACTGCACACGTAAAATTACAACCACGGATTTCAGTAACTGGCTTAAACAACCTAAGGCGATACAAAGGTTATCGTGCAAAGGATTTGTCGTCCTAATATACAGGCGGATGTGCCTGTGCTGTAGAGATGAATACTTCCTTACAATGTTTTTGTTTTTCTAGTCTTACGACACATCAAATAATGCTATTATGCGTGGATATGATGGAAATCCCTTGTATGGTATCAAGGTTTCCACTCATTGCCAGAAATTAGGGTCAAGATGGCGGTCGTGCGTGCGCATTAAGGCCATAATGGCTGCGAATTCGTACAAGGAAATGTATGGAGATAAGGAGACTTGTTCAAATATATCGATTATGAGCTTACGGGTCTTCGTTGCCCGACTCGAATCATGTTAAGTGCTGTGTAACCTTCGCATCTGGGTTAAAAATGGCTAATTAGAAGCAAGTT